GTATCATGAGTAAAAATAAAATTCACCGTCAAGTGACTGACATTCTACTAATATCTTGTCAAACTAAATTTTGGTTTACATGAACTACTACTCATCAGATACATAATAAATTTTTTGTTTTGTTGTATGACCTCATCAGTGTATAATAACACTAAACATTTGAACTGTATTCAATGTTTAGTGTATTTACTCACTTCTTCATATCAAAATATTTAAAAATTTTATTCAGAGAGATTTTCGGCCGAAAATTTATTAATACTTATCTTTCCAAATTGGTAAAACGAATAGGTCAAATCAGACTGTTTTACACATAAAATAATGTTTTGGGTAAACATCATAGTATTTCTTTTTAAAATAGTATTATATTTTTTTTATCTCGGAAGTTAAAGATGGTTATTTGTGTGCAAGAAAATGCCAATCAAATTGTAAAAACGTAATTAGACGGAACATAAAGAAACAGCTGACAGATATAATATATCAGACTAATTAGATCAGTTGTCAGTAAAAAGGTAGTTTAGGATAAATTAAATAATTCAGCATTACTGTTTGGTTGATTTCTACCAGATTTCATACTAATACCTATAGTATAATTCAAAAATATTTCGTTTTCCAGATTTTAAATTATAGAGTCAATTAGTTCTTTCTTTCGTCCAGAAAAAATATAAGTGATAAAGTTAATCACTTGATCGTCATCTGTTCTAACCTTAAATATATCACCTTCATTCATAGCTATGAGATCAGCAAGAAAATAGTTACATGGAATTCAGTAAAAATAAGATGATCAGAATGAGTTTTATTCATAGACTGTCGAGGGCTAATATACGTTAAAAACACTGAACAGTTGCTTTTTTTTAAAAAAAACGGTAGACCCTACATCCGTCAGTTAATTCACTTTATCCGAAACTCCTGATCAACTTGTAGTGGAACGCTTTTACGAAGAGAACGCAAATGGTGAAATGGAAATATTTATTATTGTACATAATGATAACAATGACTGTTTCATTGTATTCCTTTTGTTTAACTGTACTAAATACACTTACTTACGAGTAGCTTTCTGTTTTGTGTTGATGCCATTATTCGTTACATGCTGCTCTTTATGTCGCCCACTTTCTTGTTCAGATATATTCTTTACCCTGGATTTATTTAAATTATAATGACGGGCTAGTAATTAGGATTTAGTGGTGATCATAGTCAATCTCGACTCTATCACCACTAAAAACTCATGCCTGAATCATCAGATAACCACTCGATTTTTGGTTGGATTCGAATGATAAATCATGATAAACTTAGTCTTCTACTTATGTAAGGGATAACTTTATTTTAAAGCTATTCAGGTAGATGTGATTGAAACATCAAACTAATTATAATAGTAGTTTGTGATTGCTTTTTAACACACTTGATAAAGAAGCATTTGAAGATGTGGAAACTTTTTTGTTAAATCAGAGAATGTGACCCCCAGAAGCTAATATATAGATTGTGTAGTGACCTGCGAAACAAAGAAAAACACCTCGAAAATTACACATTAAATAGCGCATACCAGCTACTAAAGATCCTAGACAAGCAACAGTTTTTACTTTTAGACTCATTTCAAGTAAATACCGGTGTCAGAGAACGTTGCTTACTCTCAACCTTTCTCTTTCTTCTGGTGGCTGACTAAATTATAAAGACATCAGCATTACAGGGGAAGCACGGAATACAGTGGACAGTTCCGATGAAGCTGGACGATCTGTACTTCGCAGATCATCTAGCCCTGCTATCGCACATATAAGAACATAAGCCGATGAAGACGGCCGATCTAGCAACAACGGAGTCGGCAGCAGTAGGTCTCAACATAAACAAGATCTTAAGATGCAACACAACATGAACGAACCATCATCCTCATCACACTTGATGTAGAAGCTTTGGGAGATGTAAGAACATTCACAGACAGATCTATTGTATTGGGTGGACACTTGGAGAACCAAGAAAGCCATCATCTATGAGGTACAAGTGTTTATTAAAAGTCACCTACGCAAGATATTAGGGATTCGTTGGTTAGAAGCCATCGTAAAGAGCCTACTGTTGGAGAGAACATGTCACCTTCCAGCTGAGAAATAAATTATGAAAAAAGCTTCAGGTGGATAAGACACACTTTACAGAAAACACCTTACTTCATCATGATGCAAGTGTTCACCTGGGATCAAGACCAAAAAAGGAGCTAACTAAGAAGCTCATTACTCTGAGAAAACGAAGCAGACATGAAAAGAATGGATAAGAAGTTCATAGAACCGGAAAGAAGAGTGGAGGACAGAGTAGGCTGAAGAATGCTGGTCGGCCACCCATACGGGGAAATAGGTTTAAGTAGTTAAATAATGTAATAAATCAACTAGAACCTTCCAATATCCAGTAAATCCAATATCTTTCTCACGAGCTAGTATGAACCGATTGATTTCTTTGCGCTCGATTCTTGTTCTTTCAGTAAGGTTCCAGGTGTTTTGTAAGTCAACAACTGAGTTCCAGCTCAGCTATCGAAAGGTAGCATACCCACCACTAAAGCAGTAGAGCTCCTGAAGTGTTAGTAGGTAGTTTGGGGTAGCTTACGGGCATGATATTTAGCAGTGGTGTTGGCAGTAAAATAGCTTATGCTTTCTAACCATAGCGGCAATTAGCGTGTCCTGAATGCCTCACCCGTTACGTCTCATGACCACCAGGTCTCCGCGTCTGGTGGATATGGACTTCCGAAACTGGGAGGTCCTAATTACAGTATTTCAGGTACGACACGAAGAATGTCTCTGTGGCCACATCGGATGTGGCGAGGGTCAAGGTAGATCAGTCATACAACATTAAGTAGGCCAACAAAACCACACATCGGTGTCGGTTGTCGACGACTGAAAACCTACGGCACAAGATTCGGTGACCACAGTCTCGTCAAAGGAATACACTATACGAGTAAAACGCCTGCTTCGGCCAGTCTACAAAAAACTGTTCACTCCGGTTCGATTAACTTGTGTACATTCCAAAGGACAGGCACTTCTGCAGAGGCATGTAAGGGGATCATACTACTAATCAAATGCCTTTTTTATAAATTAAGCTGACTATGGGGTAAGTTGGCAGAGATCAGAAACATGCACTTTCAGTCCGATCTGGAGATTACAATGTTAACTGACACTCGGTTATTCCCCGACATAGCAGAGGACAAAATAGGCTTGTAAGAGATCACAGTCTTACGATGAGATAGAATACAGAAAGGTGTTGGTGAAGTGGTGATATAAACCATCATTTCAGAGCCGTTACAACACACACAACGTGGCAAAACCATGCTGGTGTTACTTCAACCCGGATGACACCAAATACATATTTAGATGAACTTACCGTTCCCCTTAAGGTTATAATTTCCATGAAGTTTCACTATTTGAGGTGATATTGTGACTACTGCAACTATCAAACACTCAGAGCTGGAGATTTTTTCAACGCTCCACCTTAAAATCTCAGCAAATAGTTTACATATCTAACAGGTTGGTTCCGAAAGTAAGTTGTCACCCATATGAAAAGTTCCGGGCCAATTGAGCATAAGTGCAATACCCCTAGCTGCACCCTCTAGCTTGGATTATTTGCTGACAAGTGATCAACTCCTAGCCGAGGTTTCCATGTTCACACACCACTTGGAAGTAGTGACCATGACTCAGTCATTTCTAACATAATCAGAAACGAAATACCCATGAGAGACGAAAAAGCGTCCTTCTTTTACCACGTTAAGCATTACCCACACCCCCCTATGGCCACGATAGAAGTGGCGGCTAACGGTAAATGATGACTGGGGGACAGTGAAAAATATTATTCAGAATGCTGTCCTATACAGTGTACTTCAGATGAAGGACTGAAGGCTTGTCAAATGCGTGAAGTCTGTCTGAAGTATCCTGACCATAGTCTTTACTTGGCATTGAGAAATAAATGCTTTGCAAAGTTCAGTGATAGCAGGAACGTCCAGGCGAAACTATCAGCCTAAACACAGGTAAACCCAAGATACCTCTTTCAGTTCACGACTAAGGGAAAATCTACGAACCAGGTTGTTTGTGTACTTAAAGGTCCGAACAGCGAAGATCTTAACAACCTAGTGATGGCAGAGATCTTTAAAACCAAATCTGTCGATAATTTTAATCAGTCACCTACAAGTTCAAAGTACAAATGCACACTAGTGCCGGTTGATGGCTTGGGAAATGTCTGATGTAGTCTTGGGTTCGTACGCAGAAAACTGATATCCCTGAGTCCAGAGAAGTCACCAGGGTAAGAAAATGCTGGCCCTGTAATTTTGAGACAGTGTTCACCGATATTTGATGCCGAATTCCATTGAAATTTCAAGCAAGTTGGTCTATCCAGTCATCAGTAGAGGAGATACGAACGATTCAGCTGGCTATAGATCAGTCCTAGCATTATATATACTTTGGAAAGTGATGGAAAGAAAGTTTAATTAATAGCCGTTGGAATAAATGGTCGTGCGCATACAGTTTCCTCATGGCATGGCATGGGAGGACAATCTGCCTGAACCAGAAGATACCCGTTCATATAATATTTCCTGATCTCATCAAAGCCTTTTATACAGCAATCTATGTACCGCTAATAGTCAAGTTTTCAAAATCGGGCTTTATTGTTCCATTACTTTATTGGTCTAGCAACTACCTGGAGAAGAGTACATTTCATACGAAGGTAAGTTGAGTGCATGTGAGCTGGAGAGTCTCATTGTTAGCAGTTTAGACAGGAGAAAATCTTAAACCCACTACTCTTACAGAAGTTTATTTAGGACCTTTAATATTTTGTGAGCTCAGCAGAATTATTCTATGCAGTCGATGAAAAGATCCGACGGTCCATAACTTATTGTAATCGAGTAACTAGACTGCCGTCCATTGAAAATTACGAGTAACCTGAAACCTTACAGAAAGAACAAGGAGAGAGTGAGCAGAAATCAGTTGGTTTATAATACATGGTGAAAAAGATATTGGATGTTGAAATCTAGTGAGTTCGCTGTTTAGCCTTGACATTAGCGCACAAGATGACACTATTTCAGAATTCTGATAAAACTGCTGATCATCTTGATTCTTCTCAGGATCGTGGAAAGGAGTTCAAGTACATTAATACTTCCAAAAAAGATAATATATTCCAATTTTAACCGTAGGACTGAATCTCTCTTGTGTCGTTTGAAGTATCAAAATAACTTACCGGAGCTCCCTTTCGACCCAAAGTTCTTAGTATATCCTCTCGAACCTTCTAGGTAAAACTGCTCTTGTACATTATGGACCTGAATTAGATTCCTTCAGTATGTAGCCACCTCGCTGGAAAGAAACTATAAGCACGAACTACTGACGGAAACAGATGTGGGAGTTGAGGTTGATTTGATTGATCCTGATGTTTTTCGAATTGACAAAAGAGGTATAGTTTATTTGAACTTTTAACTACCGCGAAATAGCGACTCTTCACCCAGATGATGAGCGACTGTTGGAAGATGAGGCTCCTACTCTTGTTAATGCACGTAAATCTAGACATCAAAAGTCAGTGTCTTGGCTGAGGAAAACAGAATATATATCTACGGAGCTGTACAATCGTTGGAACAAATCTGAGAAGGTTGAATCTAGGTAGGTGTTTCTATCTGTTTTCATGTCCAAAGACTTGGATACAATGTTAAACGCCATCTCAATGAGGAGATCGTATATCGTGATCGCGAAAGCCAGATCAATGCCATCGAAGAAACGTTCAAAGCAGCTAGAAAACCTATTCATAAGCACTATAGTAAGCCGAACGTCCACGCTTTAGAGGTACTTCCGGTGTTACCAGACTTCACATTATGGAGATATCCATGTGCACAGGTTAGTTACCAGTTCTTTAAATAAATTTTATGTATGAAAATAATAAGTTATAAATCCTGTTCTACAACCAGTAATCACGGTCATAATATAATGTACAAAATATTACTGTTATTCAGCTACAAGTTGAATGAAACGATTTGATCAAAATCTAATAATGTAATGAAGGCTTAGTTATCACCAAGTAAGGAAGACTAACAACCATCTCTTTTCAAACACGCAAATCTGGTTTTGAAAGCCTAATAACAAGCGACCCTTCCATCTTACCACCAATTGTATCTAGAAATTTGAATGAACCTGCCAAAGTACCTACATTGACGGACAGAAAAGACAGTTTAACTTAGATTTTTTGAACATATTCCTAAAAGCTTCCAAACAAGAAAGAAACCTGTTTTAAGAAGTACAATCATTTAACACCTCTTAGATACAGCAGAGGTTGATGTCTCACAGTCTTTCAAGGTAATTAATCAACAGCCAATTTTACTAAAGCCGTTGCTATTAAGTACCTGAAACCTGATTTTCTCGCTCGAAAATAAATGGTTGTTAGTCTTCTTTTGCCTTGATAAATTTCCTATTCTATATCTGTCCATCTTTGCATATACGTATCCTATTTTAAGTGAATGAGCAATGTTCCTCTCATTCTTACTTATCATCAGCGTAAGTTCATCATGTAACCAGTTGTTTCTAGCCCCTTGGACTTTTATTGTTCATAATGTTGTAAGACATCCTTTAGCATACGTCAGTCAGTCGGCTGTAACGTAGAACTTCGTACGTACGCACATCAGTTCAAGTTGCCATAACACATTAGCACAGAAACGTAATTGTCAGTCCAAAATCCATAGTAGTACAGGTTGTAACAGTATTAGCAGTACTCAAAAAGATTGGGGATCAAAAATATGATTCCTTAAGTATAGTCTAGTGAAATAAGTTTAAAAAGAGAAAATCGCCATGAAGAGTTCAAAAGCTTCGAATTTGAGGGGAGATAAAATAAGAATGCACCTGCGCCATTGCAAACGATTTTGAGCCATGCCATTCAGTCTCTAACCACCGGTTACGACAGTCAGGTGGACTCGGACCAGGTAGTCTACATTTCCTAATATTGATCAGTTCGATTGTCAATGACTTCACGGATGTATGCCATGTTTTGTTTTAGCCACTCTCAGATATTTTCCAACCTTCTCGGGATCTCAGACAACACCGCTTGTAGAGGGAGTCAGTGGTTGTTCATACGTAACACATGTCAAAATCACCTAAACTGATGAAGATCCACTACTTCATCGATTTATCTGCAATCATCACCTACTACACTTCCTAACACCAGCATTGCTTACATCATGGAACCTGGATATACAAGCAATGCTTCAATGACGCCGATGATCGAAAACTAGCAACCTACGGATATCCTCAGTCGTCATGTTTCACACCCGTAAAGTAGAATGGAGAGCTCTGCTGCTCAGTAAACTCGTCCTTTGGTTGATAGACAGATATCTCGCCTCAAAAGACGAGCCATAAAAGACGCAAGTTGGAAAAAGTCAGTCGAGCCTTTTGCATCCGGACTGAGATTTTATCGTACTAGGCCATCAACACTGGTGAGACTTCCAATATGAGTGAAGCAGTCAACACACTTGACTACTTCACTACTTATCACTAGTTCAAGTGCCGATGCAAGCTAATCCCGAAGTAAGGTTTCGCATTTCAAGGAGGAGAATCGTATCCCGAACATGTTTGCATTGCTGCTTAAGGTTGTCAGAAGACAGCATTTAGTCTATGTACGCACCAAGTAGAACTATATCGTCTGCAAATTTTAATTCAGCAAGTGAATCTCCTGATAGAAGATCAACTCCTTCAAAGTCAATTAACGAGTGTTAACGCTGAAAGCATGTCAATAACAAGGTTAAATAATAAATGGAGAAAGTCTACAATCATGATGAACACTTGAAGTATTTTATTCCAATGATAGTCCGCTCTAAGCTTTGATTCGAACAGTAGTGTTCAAATTGAGGGCTTGCTTGATGTTAATGTACTTCTGTGGTACACCTTTTAATGACTGACACTGCCACAGAACCTCACGACCACTGAGTCAAACGCCGCCCTAAGGTCAAGTAAATCAACAATTATCGACGTCGAGACGTGTGTCTATGTTTTAGGACATGAAGTGTAGATATTCGGTCTATACATTCACGTTCAGGTCTGAGACCACCTTGTTTTTCTCAACTCTGTTCTTTACGAAATCTAGTTATGCGTTGAGGTATTATTGAAGCTTATATCTTTTAGACACTATATTATATGAACTGATTTCTTTGTAATTGTCACTCAAGGACTTTTGTCTGTCCATAAAAACTGACGCAGTGGTAACTTAACAAATTTTGTTTAACTTTTGTAGGTTATCTTCGATGATGATCCCTCTCGTAAAAACAAAAATACCACTGAACAAAAGGAGGAAGTGAATCAAGCAATGATTCGGTTAGTTTCTTACTCTCTTGTTCTTATGTTATGACTGGTTTTCGAACTACCGCTTCACTGTTGATGGTTTTAAGGTATAACTTCGGGGTAGTTTTAGATTTGTGCCAGTATGTTCCAACCTCTTGGTTGCGATCCATGACGTAATCATTAACAATGGTTAGGAACTTAATTATTTCTTCCCTTTAAAGCGTAAGTTTGCCATTATTGCATTGGTTTCACTATTCTTTCTCACTTCTCGTTTTTATAAGATATTTATTATTTCTAGATGTTCACTGCGGTTGGCACTATTTGTTCTTTACCTCACATTAATTACCCCTCTGAATTTATCGATAATACGTGTATTAACTCAGAACGCTGCGACGTCTTGTTAGGACCTAGGTTGACGGTGAATGACTGACAAACAAAACCACTTTGATATCAAGAATGTATTATTTCCTCTGTAGAAAATCATTTACTAAAAGTAATCTGTTTGTATTTACATACCTTAGTTGGTTTGTATTTTGTACGAATCCGGTTCATCATACAATATTTTTTTGATTCATAATCTGCTTACTGTACTCGATCCAATCAATAAATTGATCAGTGTGTTATTGTTATAGTTATAAACGATTTGTTCGAAACTTATAATTATTTTCAATTCTCAAAATGGTATATATTATTAGTTTGATTAACTTTCAGGCTTCTTCACCACTCAGAATTCTTTTTATTTGTTAATTATAGTGGTATGGTAGATGAATCTGGTGATCATTTTGTTGCCTACTTTCTGCCAACTGAACAGACTAAACAATTACGTCGTTTGGATGCTGAAAATAGAATACCGTATACGGAAGGTGCTGCCTATGAATATGAACTTACACGAGAGTACAATTGGAATGTTAAAAACAAAACTATGGCCAATTATGAAGAAAATTATTTCTTTTGTTTTCGTAAAGATGGTATGACTTCGTATGTAATTTTTTAGTCGTGTCTTTAGTAAGAACTAGGTACTCTTACAGGTTATTATTTCACATCAGTTTTTTCACTTGCTAGGTGACCGGACATTAATTATTTAGTGTGATTAATCGAGCGATTTGTCGATTTTTAACCATTTTAAGGCTTTTTTATTCATTCTATTTCAACAATATATTAACTGTGATATTTATTTATCAATCACTCAAAATTATTGAAAAGATAAGTAAACTAAACGCAGACCAAGACATGTTATTTTTATCACTTGCTAGCTGTTTATCTGATATCGTATGAAGTTGCAGATAATTAAATATCCATACGTTGGGTTGTAGATATTCAGGTATTTTGTTATGTAAGTATACTCCTTTGATGTCTAATATTATTCTTTTATAAATGTTCATTAGTAACGTTTGTTAAGTGCAGTTTGAACTTTTCACGGTACTCAATTCATCAGTATATTGTGAATTGTCCTATTTGATGATAGTATTAGGATTTCAAAATTTATCTTTTGTCGTGGTAAATGTAGTCACTGAGTTTATTGAGATCTATAATCATGTGTGCACTGACATTCAGTTTCCTGATTTCTTTACAGGGGTTTATTATAATGAACTAGAGACCAGAGTTCGTCTTAGTAAACGACGTAAACTAAACCAATCTGGTACTAATCTTGGTGCTCTGCAAGCCCCTAAAACTCGTTTGATTGTTCATCATCGCGATTTCACAGATGAAGAATTAAAAGCTCAAACTGACCGATTGTATATGCTTGAACATGATATTGAAGGGGACGAAGAAGAAGAAGAAGGTGATGAGGAAGAAGAAAATGCAGATGGTGATGAAAATGGTGCTGATGAAGAAGCAATGAACGATAAGAAAGAAACCAATCGCAAAACTAATTATAATGGTAATTATAAGTTTTCTTCTAGTCTAGCATATATACTTGCAAATTTTCAGTATGATAAACCGTACTATTTAATGTTAGAAAACTTTGACCCTAAAAATGTCACATCTTAATTTACCCCACGGATTTCCGACTCCGACAGTAAGGCCTTTTGAAGAGCGAAGTTAACTCTTTAAAAGCTTCCCATAAAAAGCCCGTGTGCGAACAGCCTGAAGCGGTTGTCCCTTCGGGTACTGTAGTCAGGCTCTCAGGTTGCTAAGACCAACACTAACCCAACTTCCTATTCAATTTCCTTCAGAAATACTCTTCCATGGTGTAGGCAGCTGGAAGGTGACATCCGTCTCCATACTCCAAGCAGCACACAAGATCGGATTGCTCGCAATCAAATTCCTTTCATACTTGTGATTAACTATCTTGTCTCCACTACTAACCTTTCGCGTATACCTTTATCACTTTGTGCTGCAAGTGCTAACGATTTGAATACACGAAATGTTATTCCTGGTATCCTGAAATCCCGCTCTAAACTGCATGTTGAAGCTTTTATTTTCCAGACTTTGTGCCAAATAAGACAAAAAGCTCCCTTAGCTAGGTCTTTATAATCTCGCGCCGTTAATGTTATACTGCGTCTCCGAAACGCTCTATCTGAACTTAGATATTGACATGCTTTCAGCGTTAACAATCGTCGTCTGACTTTGCAGGAGTTGATCTTCTACCAGGAGATTTACTTGTCGAATTAAAATATACAGATGATAAAGTTCTACTTGGTGCAAACAGAGATTAAATGCAGTCTTCTGACCAAATACCACCGTGGTGGGTAGCGAAAGCAAGAGAAATGGAAAAGGCGCGTTTCGGAGACACAACATATATCGATTGCCCGCGATTCCAGAGTTCCAGCTAATGAAGCCTATTGCCCTATTTGGCATAGGGTTCGAACATTAAAAGCTCCAATATGTAATTTAGTACGGGGTTTCAGGAGACCAAGAATAATGCGAAACATGGCCTTTAAGAGTAGAGGACTTTCGTAGTTTACTAGTCTTCGATCATTGGTGTCTCCGAAGCATTGCTCGTGTATCCTGGGACAACCGTATAAACAATGCTGTCGTTAGGAAACGAGTATTAGGTAAGGTTGGCAGATCAATAGATAGGGTGGTGAAACTTCATCATTGAGGCGGTTGGGACATGTGTTACGTACGCTCAGCTGCCGACTGCCTCGACGAGCTATGTTTTGTGGTGTAGGAGGAGGTTGGAAGAAAGCTAGGGACGGCCAGACCAAAACATGGCAGAAATGCATGAAGTCGCAGACAAGTGGAATGAGTCATGTTGGTAGATGTAGACTACGTGGTTGGGGTCCGCGAGACGATAGTCACCAATTGTTAGAGACCTTGAACGACATGGCTCAAAATCGTTTGCAATGGCGCAAGTGCATCCACTCTTTGTGTTCTCTCAAATCCTAATTTTCTGGATTCGTCAGCATCTCTAACTTTCTCCTTTTAAATTTATCTTACTGAATCGAATCATATCTTTCTCTCTAATCTTCTCCATTACTGCTAATACTTCTACTATCGCTATCACTCTTGGATTTGATTTGACATTTGCGTCTCTGTGTTGATGTGGTTATGGCAACCTGAACTGATGTACTTACGTACGAAGTTCCGCGTTGTATCTGTCTGTCTATCTGTTTCGTGAGCTCAGACCGTTTGCTTCAGCGTCGCGTGGTGACTAACGATCGAAGGAAGAGTTGGTTGAGGAGATAAGAGAGTTATTAGGAGGTGTAGGCGGTATTTGATTGTGACCGATTCGGTCTGGTGTGCATTTATGAGTATGAGGGCGGATGTTACTTCACGGCTGCCCACACCGTGTTAGGGTTCTGGTTGTCAGAAGTGGCATCGGCCTCGTGACTTTGAAGGAACTCGGCTTTCATCATGAGACGTCATAGCTCATCTAAATGAAGACCTAACTCCAAGAGCAGAGCTTATTTGGTTTGAATTATTTTTCTTTTTAGCGTTCCTTTGTCAAGTTGGTTTTTTCAGGGATAGCGTCACCTACCCCAATCCCAACCCTCCTCCTTTGTGCGGGCTTGGGGCCGGCAGTAGACCTGCAGAGGGTCCATTCGGAGTTGAATCTTCATGAGTCGAAGTGGTTAAAGCATATGTTACGCATACATAACTACGAACTTTCTCGAAGAGCGGTGTTGTCTGAGATCCCGAGAAGGTTGGAAAATATCTGAGAGTGGCTAAAACAAAACATGGCATACATCCGTGAAGTCATTGACAATCGAACTGATCAATATTAGGAAATGTAGACTACCTGGTCCGAGTCCACCTGACTGTCGTAACCGGTGGTTAGAGACTGAATGGCATGGCTCAAAATCGTTTGCAATGGCGCAGGTGCATTCTTATTTTATCTCCCCTCAAATTCGAAGCTTTTGAACTCTTCATGGCGATTTTCTCTTTTTAAACTTATTTCACTAGACTATACTTAAGGAATCATATTTTTGATCCCCAATCTTTTTGAGTACTGCTAATACTGTTACAACCTGTACTACTATGGATTTTGGACTGACAATTACGTTTCTGTGCTAATGTGTTATGGCAACTTGAACTGATGTACGTACCTGCTAAGTTTTTCCTTGTTGATAACTGACTGGTAATATTCGATAAGGTTATTATCATTATGAAATTTTGAAAATTATTATTTTCCTTAGACCATGCCTTTATATGTAAGTGAACCTCTGTATGCAAATTTTTATTCTGTTTTTAGGTACTGACGATGAAGAGGCAGAGGATGGGATAAGTGATGGTCAAAATACTGAGCCTGAAGAGGAAGAAGCAGAAGAAGAAGAAGCCGAAGTCGAGGATGAAGATGAGGAGGTAGATGAAACACATAAAAATGATTCTAAGAAACGTTTTCAATCTAATAATACCTATAATCGTCCTAAAACATATCATCATTCAGATGAAGAAAGTGACTTAAGTGACCTGAGTGATTGATTATCTTATAGGTAGGACGTTATAGTGTATGTTTGTTTCTCGTATTGTCCCAGTTTATTTTATGATGATTTGCAAAATCTTTTTTGGTAGTCTGTAAATAAATTAAAATCCTTTGTTCCATCTCATTATATTGTCTGTACTGTTTATTGTTCGACTGATTTGCTCGTATAATCTCTCAATAATTTTCTGTATATTTACGGATTGTATTTCAGAAAAAGGTTAATATTAAATTTCAAGTAAACAGTAGTTCGTGTGAATTAGTTTCAGTTCTAGTCTGATTAAAAATTCTTAACACCTTAAAGCTACTTATTGTGAAAATAATAACTTAAGGTAGGTTTTTTAAATGTGCTTAATTAATTATCTTAATGATTATAAACAACGCTAAGCTACATTTTGGTGGTTAATATTACCGTGCTTTCACCATGTGTGACTTTGATAAACTTAGAATACTTCCTTAGGCTAAGTCCCGCTGTGCAATTAGTCTTATTGCCTCAAAAGATATTCGAAATTCCGATATGAAATAGGATTGGTCAAATTACGAGGGTATTAACTCAACAAACCAAGCGTATATCGTCTAGAGCAGCACCAGTTAAATAGAATATATGTCCGAATGAGTGAATTTACATAGAGATCGCAGTAAACGAATGTAAGTTTTATTCCCGAATTTGAAGCCGCGTCTTTGTATGTTGCCTCGTCAGCTAATAATCTCATCTAACTGTCACAATCAACTGATTAAATCACCTAAATTAATGAGTATTCCATAATCGGAGAGTCTTTAACTATCAACAAATGCCAGTCCCGTACAGCTTACATTCATTCCACGATACCATGTCATACACTGGCCATCTCAGCTTTTATCAACCAGTCGCATCGTTAGAAAATGCACGGTGTGAAATTCTCTGGGACAACATTCGTAGTACATGTCCAGACCTTGACAGTCGGTGTTTTAAGATGATCACAGCAAGTGAATTGTCACCCCTTTAGCACACGTTTCCGAACCTCTACACCATTAAATTTGAGCAGTCCTTCGGAGGCGCTGTATCTCAACATCCTCAGTTCGAAGAAGTCTGACTTCACAAGCGCAGAACGAAGCTGCCATCATAGATGCGTTAAAGATCGCACTGGTCAACATCACAGTGATCACTCAGATTAGCATAAGCTGCTCTAGCTTTACTATAACGTGATTTGAACTCAATCGGAAGCAAACTTGATCCCCCACCATATTGTTGTCGTATAGATGACGTGAACCATTCCTGATGATAGAGGAACACTAGTAGCTAAACGTTTGTAGGCACTTCAGTTCCTCAAAGAGAAAATTACTATTATCCTTAGAACGAGCCAGAGGTACGTGATCTGGGCCCGTTGATTTGTAGCGCCTCAGGAGTTGTTCTTTATGCACCCGCCTCTGTAGGTGGATCACTCGTCACGGGTAACAGGACAATTAGATCGGTGTCGATGGGACAGTAGACTAGCTCAACTGTTCTCTCAAAAGAACCGAGTAAGCAATGCGGTTATTAGGAGACGGATACTAGGTAAGGATGGCAGATCAGTAGATAAAGTAATGAAACTTCATCAGTTGAGTTGGTTGGGACATGTGATACGTACGCTCAACTGCCGACTGCCTCAATGACCTATGTTTTGTGGTTTAGGAGTAGGTTGGTAGAAAGCTAGGGATGGCTAAACCAAAACATGGCAAAAATCCGTGAAGTTACTAACAAGTAGATTGAGTCATGTTGGTAGATTCTTTTGAATAATATCTTCGAACCGTAATCTATCCGATTACTGCTAATACTTCTAATACCTTTACTACTACGGGATTTTAATTGACAGTTGCGTCTCCGTGCTACTGTGGTGCTGTGGCAGATTGGACTTATTTACGTACGTACGAAGTTCTACGTTGTAACTGACTGACTGCCTGACTCTCTGGAAAGCGTCTGTTCATCATCTAAAACGTAATTTCAGAAAGTCTGATCAAACATTCGTATTCGTTAATAACATTAAACTTTCGACCAGTCAGTGACTTGAAATTGTTTAGATTGGACAGAATTTCCATGAAAGACTAGTTCTTGTATACGTCTAAAATTAAAAAATACACAATGGGAATAAAGAGCGATTGACAACTAAGGTAATGTAAAATAAAAATGGATAGCTTTGAGTATAATTTCTGAAAATGACGGATGTAGCTAAAATAAGTATCCCACTTGTAACAATCAATTAGATTGTGTGTGGGCTGAGTTCTTCTGATTGCTCCTTTGTCATTGTGTGAATTCAGTCAGTCAGTTACAACGAAGGACTTACGTGATTACATAAGTTCAGGTTACCATACCGCATCAGCACAGAGATTTAACTGTCAGTTCAAATTCCACAGTGGTAGAGGTAGTTGAAGTATTCGCAGTAATGGAGAAGACTCGGGTTCGAAGATATGATTCGTGAAGTATGAGTCAGTGAGATAAATTTAGAAGATATAGGCAATGAGGAATTCGGAAGGTTAGAATTTGAGAGAACACAAAGAGTGGATGCACCTGCGCCATTGCAAACGATTTTGAGCCATGTCGTTCAAGGTCTCTAACCATTGGTGACTTTCGTCTCACGGACCCCAACCAGGTAGTCTACATCTACTAACATAACTCAGTCCACTCGAACAATACTGTTCGATTCAAAGCTTATAGCGGACTATCATTGAAATTAAATACTTCAGGTGTTCATCTTGTTTGTAGACTATTAACTGGGATCCAGTCTAGGAGGGCTAGTTCTGCCCTAGAACTTAGTGCTAGATCTACAGCAGCGAGTCCCCGGGAAGCAGCATCAGGGCTTCCAGATACGGTAACGACGCTACTCGGATCTTGTATGTGCGTTTCAGAGACAGCATAAATCTATGGCGAGAGATTCTAAAGTCCTAGCTAAGGAAGCCTGTTATCCTATTTGACACAATGTCCGTACATTAAATGCTACAACATGTAATTTAGAAAGGGGTTGCAAGAGACCAGGAATAACATTTCGTGAACTCGCATCGTTTGCATTAGCTGTACGGGGTGCTAAATAAATCAAGAAGGAGGGTTGGGCATAGAGTTGGCAACCCCATCCCACCAAAAAACTAACTCGCTAAAAATCGCTTACTAGAACAACTAATTCAAATCATTTTAACTCTGCTCTTGGGGTTGGAAGAAGAATTATGACATCTAATAATGAAAATATACAACGTGGAGGTGCTTGGAATCAGTGAAAGACATTAGATGCAGGTAAAACAACTGAGATTAGCTTCAGGCCAACTGTTGTTATAATCTGGTAATGAAGAGGTAAATGCTTAACATACACAAGGAGTTGCACTGATGCAGTCCAAACAAGCACGAAAGGCACTGATAGGATGGGAATCTCATGGACCCATGATCATCAAACCAACCTTCAAAAAAAAGAAGGAAGAGATTACAATGGACGTCATCCAATGCTACGCACCTACCAACGAATACAATGACGATCTTAAAGATCAATTCTACGTAAGGCTGCAATCAATCGTCGACAGATGCTCATCAAAGGATTTGACCATTCTAATGGGAGAACTAAATGCCGAGATTGGTATGGACAACACTGGATATGAAGACATCATGAGACGACATGGACTAGGAGAAAGGAATGAAAACGGTGATTTGCAAACCTATGTGCTTTTAACAAACTTGTCATCGCCGGCACAATATTCCCACACAAACGCACACACAAAGCTAAATGGATTTCACCGGATCACACTACTCAGAACCAAATCAACCATATGTGTATCAACAAAAAATTTAGAAGAACCATTGGGGACGTGAGAACAGAGAGAGGGGCTGAGGTAGCCTCAGATCACCACTTGCTGGTCGCCACAGTGAAACAGAAACTAAAAAAGCACTCGACAACATGGCGAACATCACAAAAGTTAAATACGGCTTTTCTTCAGGATGCCGTTAAACTCGACGAATTCAAGATGGCCCTCAGCAATAGGTTCCAAGCCTTGCACGATCTACTTAATGGAAAGGAAACAGCCACGGAGAACGATTAATAAAGGATCAAGGAGGTAATCACTTCAACATCACCAACAACCTACTGTGGGAGAGAACAAACCAGATAACAGTGAAGGAGGAAATCAGGAGGAAGCGGTGGAAATGGATCGGACATACACTGTGAAAAGCACAGAACTGCGTTACCGCCGGAGGCGGAAATCCGTGAGGTAGGGTGAGGTGTGACATTTTTAGGGTAGACCTTTTCTAACTCTTCCTTCCTTGTGAGAAGGCGGCATCGCTGCAGATTCTGGTTGTCTGAGGGAAACACCTTACTGCTCTCACACCCCTGTGCAGTCAGCAGTACAGCTTCGCCCTCAGACCTTGAGTAGCTGCTTTTAGTCTCATCGTTCTCCAATCGATCTGCTTGGCATAGTATAACCTTCAGGAACATATGTTACAGGCAATGTAGCTCTGTTGGTTGATCACGATAGGCAAGCGCGACTACCACGTCAGGGTCGCAGCTACTCTCGGGCCCGTGTGAATTCATAACTGGTCAGGAAATCATATTATTTTGGTAAGAGATAGACTGCGTTTGAACATGTTTAGTGCATGATTCTGCCGGAGAAAATCTACTAACGTCTTCACTAATCAGTACAAGTGGATAGCTTAAAAGGCTAAAAAAAATTTCTAGTATAAAAATCATTAATACTTTATCGTTTCTATTACTGTGATTCCCTCACATTTAACTTACATTATTGGGTTATAGTTACATACTTGTCGAACACACGTTCTGATTTTCAGGGCTAGTTAGCGTTGTATAGCTTTTGAAGGATACTTAGCAAGATGAGTATCTGGGTTGTTTAAGACAGGTCTTTACCAGCGCTGATGAAGGGAAAGGGGAAAACATTCAAGACGCCTGTATCAAATTACCAGCTTAACCAGAACCTAATACAGAACCAAAAGAAACTTTGTGCATAAATGCACTTATTAGAAACTCTGAGGTAACAGCTATGCACTCACTGTTCCAGTTCCACTTCGTCTAATTCTTGTGATTCAGCTGCAAATAGCATCCTAAATTTCTGTCATTATTGAAAGTAAAAATACTTTTTCGGGTAGTTAAAGCATTGGGAAGATATGTTTGGGATAGAATTCTCCAAACGCTCAGTTGTTGGTGCGCAAGTTGAGACGCAATAAACACGTTGGTTCTGCTGGTTTCATACTACTGACGTTACTTTGAGAGCTCAAGTTCAAGACGGTAACCGTACTGTCAGAGATATTTGGTG